TTACAAGTGTGACCCCCTAATTGCTCCAGGACTGCTGACTTCTCTTTTTCGTGGTGAGTCCATGGTGGCATCTTGTGTTTTCCAGGAAGTGGTCTGTTTCCCTCCGAGTTGTCGGGTTGGTGACTTGAATAAACAGTCCATTCTTCCTCATGCATCTGGGGATGTGTGTGGCATCTGTCAGTCCGTACTTTTGTAATTCGTGACAACTTCTCTTGTCAGTCTTAATAAATGTTCATCTTTGAACCTAGCTTTTTTATGATCCTAATTTGCAAAGTGTCTTCTTAAGCGACACCCCCAGCCCCCGCGCCCCACTTCCGGCCACATGGAAGTTGGATTTATCCAGTCATGGATTTGGCTTGTGTTGCCTTAAATGAAATCCCAGTGAGTGGAGGGCTTTGGGGATCTCACCATGGGTTAGGGCTTCCCAGGTGGCGGTAGAAAAGAACCCCACCTGCCAGTGCTGGGGACATAAGAGACGTGGGTTCGATCCCTGGGTGGGGAAGATGCCCTGGAGGAGGGTGTGGCAACCCGCTCCAGCATTCTTGCCTGGAGAGTCCCCGTGGACGGAGGAGCCTGGTGGTACAGTCCACAGCATTGCAGAGGCAGACGCGACAAGCGACCCAGCACACACGCACAGGTTAGGTCTCGGCAAGCAGCAGGTGAGTCCTTCACGGTTTTGGAGTGAAACCCACTCGGAAAAAAAAATACAGTATGTCAGCCTTGTTTATTGCTCTCTGTGTGATATCAGGTGATAATTGTCACTCTCCTTTCTACTCCTGCATTCCCACAGTATGCATGCTTATTTACTCAAAGAAAGAAAGAGGAACAGAAAAGATGCATAAAGAAGGGACTGATGTGGAAGTTTGGGGGCAAGAGTGGGGGGCCCTGAGACCCCAACATCTCACACATCCCCGAGTTCCCACACTCCCTCCTCCGCCCGAGGCTTTGCAAACAGGAAGCCGTTTGCAGATAAGGATGCAGCCCCGGCCCAAGTCACTGGCCGTCTGACAGCCAGGCCACTCGCCCGACGTGGGTCTGAGCGCAGCCCCCAGGCCGGGGTGCAGGGTCCCTGCGGCCGCGGCCAGGACGCCCCTTCGCCTGCTGTGCGCCTCAGGTAGGGACTCTGCCGGCCCCTCTGCAGCCTGGGGCCGGGACGCGGGGGGACCCCGCGGAAGATGCTGGGGCCGCGCGGCGTGGCTGCTGGGGGGCGCTGGGGGTACTGGGAGCGGGGCGGAGTGGTCTGCTCCGGGTCGGCCGGTCGCAGGGACCAAGGCCAGGTTAATTCTCTGGTTCATGGTGGAGACCGCCCGGAGCCCACCAAGGAGAAGCACTTAGTCTACCGGTTACTAGCAGACCGAAGCAAGCCCTGCCAAGCTGACTCAAAGCGGGGAGCAGCAGTTTTTCCTGAGTCCCAGCCCGGGTACGTGCCCCGCAGGAGGGGTGCCCAGGAGAACTGCTCCTCTGTGCTTTCAGTTCAGCTCAGCTCAGTCGCTCAGTCGTGTCTGACTCTTCTCAACCCCATGAGCCGCGGTACGCCAGGCACCCTGTCCATCACCAACTCCCGGAGTTTACCCAGACCCGGAGCCCAGCAGCTCCGGGTGGAGCACAGTGACGGGAGTGCAGCGGGGCTGCAGAAGGCAAACTGTCGGGGCAAATCGGGTCTCCTTATGTCGGGTCCTTTTATAATCGGGGAGGGGTCACCCCACCTCCAGCACTGGGCTGTGCAGTGTCGCAGGGCGCCCCCCACCCCCAACACCTGCCTGCAGGCTGAAGCTGGGCCGCAGTCCTGAAGCTGACGGGATGTTTGGAAGCCACGAGTGTGTATAACTGGGTTTTTGGTTTGATGGGAAACGTGTTGCCCTGGGGGTGAGCAGAGCAGCACCCCAAACTCTCATGGCTCCAAAATTTTATTTACGGTTTTGAACAGTCTATATACCAAATAAGAGAACACATGGATGATTCTCATAAAGTTAGGGGGGAAATATGGAAAAGGGCTCTTCTTCCTTTGGGGGTCTTGGTAAGAAGACAGGAAAGATGCGTGCCTTTGGGGTGACGCTGGCCGGGCTGTGGCCGCAGGGGAGGCCCAGTGTCACTGCAGGAACGACGGGGGTGGGGGGGGGTGGCGTGTCTGCCCCCCAGACCTGCGGCGCCTCCAAGGAACATGCTGCTCCGCAGGCGCTTGACGTACCCACAAGGTGCTGGGCCCGCTGTGGGTGCTTATGAAAAGGTACAATTGCATGTTTGGCATACAGGAAGCCTCGTTTTTTCACTGCCTGTTTCATTCTTACAATGTATTTCTGCTAAAAGTTCCAAATTGAATTTCCCTTCCCCTCTGCAAAGCCGCCTCCTTCATGGAGGGGAGGGTCCTAGTCTTGCGGGCTCTGGCCTCCCGGGTCGTGGCCGGGAGATAAGGGTGTTGTTGTTGAAGAGGCGCCGGGAGGAGCTGCAGCTTCCTGGTTTATAAAACAAAATTCCTCTTCTAAGAGGGCAGGAAGGAGCCTGAAGGCTGGGAAACAGGCTCCCACCAGGGTCTGCCCACCCCAACTTCTGCTGACAGGACCTGCTGGGTGGGTGGGCACAGACACACGAGTGGGCGGAGGGCCAGGGGATGAGGGAAGGGCTGAGGGGGCTGTCCACCACTCAGGGTCCTCCTCCCGCTGCTCCCCTTTCTCGAGAGGCGGTCTTCTTGAGACCAAGTCAGAGCAGTTGTTGTTCGGTCCCTCAGTTGTGACCGACTCTTTGCGACCCCATAACCACAGCAGGCCAGGCCTCCCTGTCCATCACCAACTCCCAGAGTTTACTCAAACTCATGTCCATTGAGTCAGTGATGCCATCCAACCACCTCATCCTCTGTCGTCCCCTTCTCCTCCTGCCCTCCATCTTTCCCAGCATCAGGGTCTTTACAAATGGGTCAGTTCTTAGCATCATGTGGCCAAAGTATTGGAGTTTCAGCTTCAGCATCAGTCCTTCCAATGAATGTTCAGGACTGATCTCCTTTAGGATGGACTGGTTGGATCTCCTTGCAGTGCAAGGGACTCTCAAGAGTCTTCTCCAACACCACAGTTCAAAAGCATCAATTCTTCAGCACTCAGCTTTCTTTATAGTCCAACTCTCACATCCATACATGAC